TTTGTCCAAGATATAAAAGTGTTCGAAATTAATTCCACTGGGAAGAAATGATGCTTTGCTGAGGTCCCGTGACTGAAGGCAGCACAAAAGACAATTCCGAAAAGTTTCGAAGGAAAAGCATGCGTATGCGGGGAAGGAGGTAAACTTTGCGTAGGTGGAAGTAAGCAAGTGGTATCCGCAGAACTGCTCTTCACTTCAGCACAAAGCACCACTATATCGACAAACGATCTTTGTGATCTAGGTAATCATAAACACTGGTCAGGCAATATCAGCATTATCCCTCGATGTTACTGAAATGCATTTACGCCACGCTCAGCTACGCCAAGTTGTCATACACTCGCTAACTGCGTCACACTATAATCAGAACACTTCACCATCCACTTTGTAAGTGTCATCCACCAACACAAGGTGGCTGTTGATGACAAAATGACCTATAAATGGGATTAGTTTTCTCACGTAAGCACAGTGATATCCGTTTATTTGTCGTGGCCAAGAAAAGACCTAAACAGGAAGTCTTTACTTCTCCATTCCCTTCGTCATGGGCGGCGTCTGCACCTCAGCTTTCAACAGAGTTGGAGAAGCAACGAGCAGGCATACGCAGAAATATTCAATCATTGGCGACGCGCCCGGGGCCGACCCCTGCGATCATGCGTTTTTGCAGTATCTCGTACTGTAATGAGATCGCTTGAAAACCCGCTAGCTAGAATATGTGAAATACTGGTGCTCGAAGCTCGGGAAGTTAATTATAATGCGGTACTTGGACAAGGAACATTTCACCAAGATTTCAGCTTTCCAGCTTTTCTGATTCTTGAGTTAGCCACTATCCCGTCAAAAATTTTCATGGGGCCGTACGTGGGAACTACACATAAAGAGGAGCTAAATTCAATAACTTTAAGTTGTAAATGTGCTGGGAACATTCCCAGAAAATTTCAGCCTCCCAGCTTTCCTGGTTTCCGAATTAGTCATTTTCCCGGCAAAAATTTTCACGGGGCCGTATGTGAGGGCCACGCATGCCTGGGAACTCAGTTTGATAAATTTCAGTTGTATATGAACTGGGAACATCTCCTTAAAATTTCAGCTTTCTAGCTTTCCTGGTTCCAAAGCTGACAATTTTCTCGTCAGGAAACCTCACAAATATTTCAAATTCAGCCCCCGGATTTTCATGGTACGCGAGAACCATGAAAATCCGGGGGCTGAATTTGAAATATTTGAGTTCTGTGTGGACGGGGAACATAATCTCAAAGTTTCAGCTTTCTAGCTTTTCCCGTTCCCGAGCTAGTAAGTTTCCCGCAAATAATTTCACCTTGCATAATGGTTAGTACCAGACTTGCATAGACTTGCATAATGGTTAGTACCACGGTTCTGGGGTGGCACATGGCCAGGGAACCCACTGGCAAAATTTTGGCGCTGGAGCTTGCTTGGTTGCCGAGTTGAAATATCTGGACAGACGAACACACGCACCCACACACACACAAGGTCGTCACAATATGCGTTTTTGCCTATATGCAAATTGCAACAATTTGCCAACGCACGGGCTAACCGTGCGAAGACGCGTTTTTTGCATAGTTCCCGCAGTTTTTGCTGCTACCGGCACCGGTTTTCACGGCAAATGTTTCTAGCTAAACAAATTAAGACTGGCTGTCAAAACTGCCAGGGAAACATTCCTTAAAATTTCAGCTTTCAAGCTTTCCTGGCTTCTGAGTTAGCAAGTTACTCGAAAAAAACTTTCACGAAAACGTACTTGGGTATCACGCTTACCCGGGGACTGGGTCTGAGCACATTAATACCTATTTGGACGAGGAACGCCCCCTTAAAATTTCAGCCCCCAGCATTTCTGGTTCCCGAGTTAGCAGCTTACCCGTAAAAAACTTTGGCAAACTCGTACGTGGGTACCACGCGGGTAAGGGCGCCCATTTGGGGTCGTACGTGCATATAGATTAAGATCCCCAAGTTTCAGCCCCGCAGCTTTTGTGGGTCTCGATATGAAAAATCGGTACAGACGCACAGCGCACACACAGAAACATACACGCACAGACAACCTCTCGTCAATATGCGCTTTCTGCACTGCATAGCTGCAAAAAACGCATAAAAACGCATGTTGCAACGATCCTGCCTGTGTGTGTATGTTTGTGTGTGTGTTCGTCTGTCCAGGTATTTCAATTCAGCAACCAAGCGAATTCCAGCGCCAAAGCTTTGCTAATGAGTACCCTGGCCAAGTACTACCCCAGAACCGTGGTACCAACCCTTACACACGTATGGCCCCGCGTACAAGAGGCTGAAAGTTTCGGCTGGAAAACTGATAACTCGGGAACGAGGAAAGGTAGAAGACTGAAAATTTGGGAGTATGTGCCCATACCATGCGCGACCCTCCTGTTTTAATATCATCCTCCGCGGACGCCTGCGTGCCACGTACGGACGATTTTTTAAAAATTTGCAAATTTTTTGACGGGAAAGCTGTCTCGGGAACCATAAGAGGTAAGGAGATGAGACCTTTTAGGGATATTCACTGTGCATGTGCTAGCTAAAGATTTCAAATTCAGCCCCAGGTATGCGTGATGCTCACGTAAGGGCACATGAAACTTTTAGCGGGAAAATTGCTAACTCGCGAACCAGGGGAGCTAGAAAGTTGAAATTTTGAGGGAATATTCCCTATCCAACTACAACTCATATTTTTCAAATTCAGCCCCAAACTATGGATAGTACTCACGTAAGAGCGTACGAAGCTTTCTGCGGGAAAACTACTTAACTCGGAGACCAGAAAAGCCAGAAAGCTGAAATTTTGGGGTGATGTTCCCTGTCTGAGTACAGCTTAAGTATTTCAAATTCAGTCTTGAGATATGAGTGGTTCTTGGATGCGGGCACTTAAAATTTTGGCTGAATTTCTGGCTGAACAACTAGGTTTCTTTTAAAAACGATCGTTAAATGGAAATTTTACACTTACTTTATGCAAAATTTATGGTGATTTATGCTAGTGACTGCAAAAGATAGGTATAAAACAACAACTATTCATACAATTAATGACCTGAGTATTTCAAGTCCGGCGCAAAAACGCATGGTCGTATGAGTGCGTTCCAGCCTGGGTTGCAATGTGCATATAAGCAACCAAGCTGGAACGCACCAGGCTCTCCGGTGCGATCATGCGTTTTTTCACTAAACTCGCAGATCGCTATTAGCGAGAATGATCTTTACGTTGTAGCCTAACACTTGGGTCATATTGGCCGTGCTTTGGCCCCTTCCGGCATGCAGGAGGAAGGGCGTCAGTTAGGATGAAGGTGGTGCATTATAGAGCCGCACGGACATCCAGGTGCATGACTACCGGTTTTTTTCATGAAGTCCGGTCACTTTTTCGGCAAATGCTCGCTTTGTGAAAAAATGACAAATGCAGTTTTTTGAAAAAATACAAATTTCCAGTTCACTAAAAAGTGGAAATATTGTTCGATGCAGTTTTTTGAAAAAGTGAAAATTTCCAGTTCATTAAAAAGTGGAAATATTGTTCGAGCGACCGTTTGTCAAAAAATCCGTGCATGCAAATTAACTAATGTTCATTTACATATACGACTGAGGTTCCGGTCCGGGTTGCGATGGATTTCTTAACGATTTTTGGGTTGAGGAGCTGCTTGAGGCTGTGGTTGGGGTGCTCGGCAGTTGAGTTTAAAATCTTTAGCTCGCACGTGCATAGATAATATCCCTGCAAGGTTTCAGCTTTTTACCTTGCCTGGTTCGCGAAACCGTTTCCGGCCAGCATATTTTTTTGGGGGACTCGCACGCGGAGCCTAGGCGCCTGTGGGGGAACATCTTGAAACGGGAGAATGACACACGGGGTAGGAACATATACCCAAAGTTTCAGCCTCTTAGCTTTCCCGGTTGCTGAGATGAAAGTGGGTGACAAAATGCACTTATTTCTGAACACTCACACAGACAGCCTCTCGACAATATGCGTTTTTGCTGGCTGTAGCAGCGCTATAGCGCAGCACAGCAAGAACGCATAAAAAGGCCGATCACCTTCTGTCTCAAGCCACAGCGTCACCGCCCTTCCCCCGTTTTGTGTTTTGTATAGATTTCCTGCTTGTAACTGAGCGCCCTAGCTGATTTGTTTTGTGTTATAAGCGTTGGTATTTCCGTCATATTCAGTTCAATTTGTGCTTTCACAGCGAAGTTGTCATCGCCTGTTAACGTATTCTACCGCATATCGCTGCTATAAAAAAAGTTTCTGGTTACGTCGCAAAGCCCCATGTCGCCAGAAATTCGCTAATCGGCGCTAATAGTTATTAAACGCAGGACCTTCCTCCCTACTGGCTGAGTCTCGTGGTCTGAAGTTCGTTGCTGGGTCAACTCGGGTGCTGCATCATTGGCGGATCCA